CTTTCCTTTGGACAAGAACGTCCTCTCCAATGTCCCAGTCCAGTGACTGGGATCATTGTATTTTAGGAGGCCCCGTTCTTCGGGTGAGACAATAAAGCAAGGTCCTAATGATTCATTATATTGGGTGTATTAGTTAAAAGTGTCCTGCCTAAATTTCACTTCGGGCTTGCAAAATCTGGTCTCCAGATTCTCTTGCTATCTAACTGACAATGCGGTTTCTTTCCTGTTGGCTTGATCTGAAAAGGAGTGGGGCTTCTGGCACATGTAGGATTCAACACATCACTCAGGAGGTTGGTGCACTTCAGTGGTGCACCTTCATTCATTTTGGGATCCTGCGGTATGCCACTGAATTAATAACATTGAAGGTATTATGAAAATATTACCACAAACGTAATTATTACATCACGCAAGCAGACAACAAAATGTCCTGTATGCAAGATTTGTTCAAACAGAAAGCAAGAATATAGTCTGTTACACTGTAAAGTGTAGTCGTTTTTAAACTATTTCTATAAAGAACACTTTTTCAGATGAAGGTAACAAGATAATAAATTTGCATAAATCAGCAGAAAAAAAATTGACTGTTCTAGAATAAACCTACTAGAATGCACTACTCCAGACTGGCTTTATTGCTCTGAAAAATGATCAAATCCGCCAAATATACTAGCATAAATATTTTTTTAAGCAGTTCTTTTTTCGTAATGCACAAGCAAGACCTCAGTACAGCCTTACATCATGAAGGCCTTGCAACTGCAAATAAATTATGAATGACAAGTATTTGAACCAATAAAAGTGGCACCGTATTTTATATGCAGTAAATTTAATTCCAGATTGCATTTCACCCCAGCGGGGTGACATGTTTATTGTCACTGAAAGATGAAAGCTTGAAGACCTGGCGGCGAGCGTCAGCAGTTCTGGGGGGCACCCGCAAAATGAAGACTTGACAGATTGGTGGCGGAGATCCTGAAATTAAATGCCAGATCTAATTTTACCTAAAAGAGTTGGTCGTAAGTCCTGTGTTGGACCTTTCTCGGAATGCATGAAAACAAACACCTCAGGTGTAAAATATGCAAATACAAGGGACATATTTATACCATAATCTGTCCATTATTCATTGTTTGCTATAAAAAAGAACCCTAATCCCCCTATTTCTGTAAATCTTTCTACGAGGGAGAATTGCATTTATTTGCTGATTGGTCCACACACACTATTAGAGTATCATCAAGCAACATTTTCTTTATTTGTAAGTCAGTAATTTTTTTAAAAAAGGTAAATTACTAAAACTAATAAACATTAGGACACAGAATAAGGCATGGAGTCTAAACGTGATTTGAAGCATTTTACAAAAAGTAGCTTGTTAAAGATGCTGAGTGTCATCCTTGTTAATTTTTAACTTATAGGAATGTTATTTGTCATTAATGTTAATAGTTCAGACTTCATTTGAGTCCCATCTGAAAAGGAACAAATCTTATGCAATTAAATAAACACCACAGATTTAACAATAACCTTATTTACCTAAAGAAAAAGCAGAAAGAGGAGCTTTCAGATGACAGATCATCTTACAGATATTTATAGAAAACAAAGCAATGTTGCATCAGTAGTCTAGCTCTATAATTTTTATAGTATCTGATAAAAAAGAACATTATCAGAGAAAGGTAAATAACAAAACAACTACGGATTTGGAAATTAACCTTATTTCAAAAGCTTTTTTGCTGTTATTGCTGTTGAGGTTGCTGCTGTACTTCAACATTGGATAAATGGAAACAGGCTTTGGAGAGAATCTCAGATTTCACTGCCCTGCATAGATATAGTACATTTAATAACCATCTATTGGATAATGTTCTGCAGGGAACTGGACATGGAAGCTAGTGACATGCCAGCAACTGCATAATTTCAACAGGGGTCAAATGACCCTATACTGTAGATGCATTCATTCTGGTGCCATCTTACTGTACTGTATATCCCCTAGGGTTCAGCAGTCCTGCTGAATACCAAAAAGGAGAACTTATTGCTCCCAAAGTCATTCAGAATTCCTTATCCAATAAATACACTGGTATGGTATAATCCCTGAGTATGAAACAGTGAGTGTCTCCGTACTTTCAGAGTGTGGCACTTGCTATAAAGGTTGCCAGGGTCCAGAACCCAGTGTACTTGATGAGAATATTCAACATATTTGTTCTTGACCTTTTAAAATGAGCGAGATAAGGAGATGTTTTTAATGGAAAGATTTTTCAATATGTTGGCCATCCACAATGAGAACTTGTGCCAGTGCCAGTTGAAATTCTGCATACAGTAGTTCTTCTGTTAAACCCATTGTAAGCTAAGATGAACCTCACTTGTAAGATCACCATTTTTCACTCTGGTAATTCCTGTTTACATTTGTTTCTTTAAAACCCACAAAAAGTCACAGAAACTGAGATTAAGTATTAAGTAGTTTATTCTACTGTACAGATATGCAACAATGATTACTTGTTCTATGGGATACTTTTGTCATTGCTACAGTATATTTTGCATTGTACCCAGTAATGTGATGAGAATAATTATAATTTGATTAAGTTCTTTTTTCAGCATAGCAATGAGTATAAAAGCTCTTAGCTTTATAGCTATTAAGATGTGTACGAGAGTCATGTCATTCAAAACAGTTACTCTGATTATAAAGAACTCACTCCAATGTACTGTAGGCTTTGTCTACTCTAGTGTTATCATTGGGTAATGGTATTAGAAAAAGTAATTTATTCATGAATAGCAGTATTCACTATGTTAGCCTGCTGTGAATTTTCTACTTACTCTTTCATTGTTTTTTGTCCTTAACTTATGAACAGAAAAAAATAAATAAGCTGTATTTTGGAACCAAACGCAAATTTGACACAGGCCCCATCTGATTAATATACTCTGAATGGACACGTAAGCATGAGATCTCAAATTGCTATTTTAATTAGCTTTATGAAATTTGTAATTGCAGAAGACTGTTAACTTTTTTCAGTACGTCATCAACACACAAATTAGTGTTTTTTTATACATCTTTTGAATTGTGCAAAACATGGGTAGGTTTTCTGGTAGTATGATTCATTCTGTCCAAAATATTTTTCTGTCCATCATTTTCTGTTGATAAATCAGACACCTGGATATGTGCAGTGTTTCACAAGATAGTTATTTTCATTAATATTAGTGTTGCTGTGGAAACTTAGTTCAGTCCAACTTTTGCAGGGATTCTGTTACACACAGCAAGTCCTGTTAATGACTGGCCTGAACTATTTTTTATTCATGAAGCTGTTTTAACTCAATGAGAACGAGGAAGCAATCATGGCTGCCTGTCAACACCCAAATCTATCTGCATTCTTACTCAGACTGGTCTACTGGGAGATTGTCAGAATACCTTGAAATATTCTGCCAATATTGACTACTGCCTGACTTGAGATTTGTTTAAGGAAACATATTGCAAGGGTACGTCCTTCTCACAGTTATTTAATGAAATAGGAAGTAAAAAAATAGCTCTGGAACATAATTCATTCTTGCATTTAGGTCTTCCAGGTTTCATGTTTTGGATGAGGCCTAAAAGTGCAACATTTCAGACTGCTTCACAGTTTCAGCATAAGTAAAACTGTTTTAAATCTTGTGAACGAATAATCATTATCATTCATGATTGTTCACTGCCAGTTTCCTTCTAATATTTTCTTGGGACTATGTTAACTCTCATTATAAACTCAAATTACTGCAGTTTAAACATAAGCCTTTTTGTTCTATAATAAAGACAAAATTTAGAACTATTACATTGCAATTCATTTGGTACACAGTAATGGCAGTTTTAAGTATCATATATTTGATTTTATGTATGAATAAAGAAAGCTGTCTCTGTCTGGCAATTGTATTGTATTACATACTAAACAATACCTTGGCATGGCTTTAAAGACTGTTTTAGGGAATGCGATCAAATAATTACTCAGGTTTGCTGTTTTTTCTTTCAAATGGACTTTATACCAAAGTATATTATGTGCTAAAATTCTTCAACTTCAATTTCTTTGAAATACTATTTATAGCTGTTATACATACAGTAACAGAATTGGATGTTCCAGTTCTTGGGCCCTTGACCTGGTGCACTCTCTGCGAAGACTTTTCACGTTCTCCTCATTGCCACATGGGGTTTCTCCACAGGTAATGTTCTCATGATGTCTAGGTTATATGGCATCTCTAAATTGTCCCCTGTATTCAAACGATATACTGTACCACATACAGTACATGCCATCATGTGCATCATTTTGGAATGGCATCATGATGACTTGGGCCTGTCATCTGCTGAGTTAGACACTGGCTCTCCTTCACCAAGTATTAGACTAAGTGGTTACTGAAAATGGATTGATATGACTGATATTCCATAGGAGTGACACGTCTTGTCCAAAGTAGTGAGAATGTGGTAAGTCCTATGATTCATAAGGACTGTAATGTAGTAATGAAGCAGATCAGTCTAAGGGTAAAGAACACTAAAGTAAGAAGCTTTACAAGAGAGACGATTATTGGTACTATATATTGGATTATTAGTGCATATACCAATGGTGCATTACTGATGGCAATGTCAGATCTTGATAATGTGTCAATTCAGATAACCTCAAGTGTTTGCAGGCAACAGGTGAGCAGCTGGCAGATAAAATACAAACCAACACAAAGTGCAATTCTGTTTGCAAAAAACTAGCAAACTGATTGTGACAACAACATTTCTCATACAGTATAAGGACATCTTGGAACATACAGTATATGGACATCTTGGAACATACAGTATAGTGGAATCAATCCCATAAATGCTTTAGGTGTAATCTCCAGTGAAGGTTGGCTTGACACACCGTTATGGGTATTACCTACATGTCTTTAGTATCAGAACAGATACTTACTGTACACATTATCTTAATTGTTGGCAACTTCTAAATTGTGCTTCCCACATCACCTCAAAACAGCATAACATACTGCAGTAAAAAGGATATTTCATACTTCAAAATTTGGACACACGGTACCTCTCATGGAGGTGATATCCGCCACCATTGATCTTCCAGCCTGGTTCTACTGGGTTGGGTATCTTTGCTGTGTTAGCAATCAGGTGTTGTACATCTCTCCAGGTCAGATTAGGCCTAACAGAAAGAAAAATAACATTTAAGTTATTGATCGCATTTAAAAGACTCAAAATCTTGAAATACACACGGACTGCACGAAAGGGCAGAGCGAGCATCTCCGCAAAAACTAGACATGAGGATTAGTGATGATATTAATATACACAAAGGCAAGTCCAGTATCACACACAATTAAAGTTATTAAAATGCTCCAGTTAATGTCAAAAAGCTGCTGAAGAGGAGGTAGCTACTAATTGAACACAGTGCTGTATAAACAGATATAAAATACTACATCCTGTCAGACAGGTTTAACACCCAATTTCTAATGTGTTTCACTGTTCAAAGAAAGGAGATATTTTTCTCCCCAAACACAGTATACACACATACACACAGTATTTTCACAAACCCTTAGTAAACAAAGTATTTACTGTAATTTTTATGGCACACATTTTGGATCAAACTTCATTGCCATGGTAAGAATTTTCGGAATCTAACAAAACCTTCTCCTGTCAACAAGAGACTTCATCTCAAAGTGAGCTGTTCACCGTGGGCTGCAGTAACAGTAAAATGTGATTTATTTAGAAACTCAGCAGGTAGTATGGGATTCTTTATTGGTGCTGTGTGAAAATTCAATTTTTCATTGGAGTGAGTTCATAACTGTATTACATCTTTTGATCACTCAACCATTTCAAATGTTTCAAAAGCTTTAATAATGATAAACTCTTGTAAGTCCACAGAGGTATCATCAGCAGTCTATCAATCAGAACACATTCATCCACACCACCATCATACTTATTTTTCACCGTATAAAATGAAGAAAAGTCTTAACTTTTCCCACAGAGACTATCATTTCATCTTTATTTCTTTTCTTGAGTGCAAATATTATTCAGTCAAATGACTGAGATTTAATTAATTTACTTTCCAATATATGTGCTACCATACATTTATGTGCACTTTAAGATCACAAGGTACAGTCAGTATGTAATATTATTTTACAACCTTTTATACTGCAGTAGTACACTATGCTAACTTAATTTCTAGATCATTAAAGACTGTCCATATTTTTATTCAGTGTTGATGTATTGTTGGATTGATTTTGTATAAAAGAGAATATTTTCAACTTATATCTGATGGGGATCTGATCATATCTTTCGACTCAAGATATGTCATGTGATACAATATGGTATTCGATTTTCACAGGGATAAACTTTGAAAATTGAGCAAGATGTTACAGAACCAACAACAGCAATGGTAGGAACTGATGGAGTTTATGAGGTCTTCCCACAGATAACAACCGAAAATATTCCAAAATGTAAACAACAGTGCTTGGTGAAGTTAATTAATGTACACTAGGCTAGTCTAAGATTACTGCAGTTTATGAACAGCATTTGTGACATTTTTAATTAAGTTAATTTAATTAATTTTAATTATGTTTCGAAACAGAACACTGGATTGGTGTACAGTGTGGTAAAAAGGTAAGTAAACCCCCTTATGATTTTATGGTTTAACCTATTCAGACATATCTGACCTTCACCTAGTCCTCACCAAGTCCTAATAACAGATAAAACTTACCTCATTTGACAAATAACACACTTGTATTTTAATTAGCCAGCATTCAATATCATCCTTAGTTCTTCTATCTGAATTAGGAGGGTATGTATTATCAGGTACACTAAAACATGTTAAAATGATCAGTTGATCATCAGAAAGGGAATCCATCTGTACAAGAAACCTTGTCCGTTTGGTCTTAAACACTCAGGTTTTTGGTAACACATCATGCCAAGATCAAAAGAAATCTGTGACAGTGTTAGAGAAAGAAATGTTACTGCTCATCAGTGTGGGAAGGGTCACAAAGCCATTTCAAAACAATATGATTGTTCATCATTCCATGATGATAAAGATAATCTACAAATGGAGAGATTTCAAGACCATTGCTATTCTACTCAAGAGTGCCTGTCCTACTAAATTCTCACCAAGGTACGACTGTATGATGCTTCTAGGAGTCTCAAAGAACCCGTAAAGGCCTGTCTCACTATGGTAAATGTCAGAGTTCATTTAAAAACCATGACTCCACCATCAGGAAAACATTGAATAAAAAAAACCTTGCTCTCCAAGAAGAACACTGCTGAATGGCTTACGTTTGCAAAACAGCACTTAGATTAAATACAAGACTCCTGAAATAATGTGCTCGAAACAGATGAGTCAAAAGTGGAGTTCAGTTTTAACTAGAATAACCTCATATGAACCACATACAGTATGAACACTTATTGTATGTGGTGGGGTGGTGATGATTTGGTCCTGTATGCTTTGCTATCATTGAGTCTACTATCAATTCCACACTACACAATCCCATAGTATTCTAGAAAACAAATGTGAGACCATCTGTCAAACAGTTAAAGCTAAACCACAAGTGGATCACCAACATGACAATGATCTAAAATACACCAGTAAATCCATCACAGAATGGCCCAAAAAGAAGAAGTTCAGGATTTTGGAATGGCCAAGACAAAGTCCAGGTGTAAGCCCCCTAGAGATGCTGTGGTGAGACCTCTGCATACAAGAAAGCACACAGGTTAAAGCAGTTCTGTAAGGAAAAGTGGGCCAGAGCTCACCACAGGCAATGTAAGAGACTGATCAGCTCTTACAGGAAATGTTTAATTTAAGTTATTGCTGCTAAAGGGGGTGTCACAAGTTACTGAATCAAAGGGTGCACTTACCTTTTCACAGAAATATATTGAATGTTGGCTGATTTTTTAAGAAACCATGAAGTAGAATGTTTGTGTATTATTTGTCAAATGAGGCTAGTTTTATCTACTATTATAGTATGGTGTACTTTAGTGGTATAGTGTGGATATATGACTTGGTTAGGACTAGGTGAAGGTCAAATACTGTAAGTCTAGATATGTTAAACCATAAAATCACTTAGTTTTTCACCACACTGTAGGTAGATGATAGAATCTGAAGTATGCACTTTAGAAATTCTAATACCTTGGGCTATTTATTGTACTTTAGGTGTAAAGTCTATTAAAGCAGATATTTTAAATTTATTTTAAGCCTGATAGATTGATTGATTGATTGTTATGCAATACACTAATGTTTTTCAGTTATGTTTCTAAAGCTTTCAGAATAAGGGAACATCTAACCTATGATGGAGCAAAGGATTATTGACATTTAAGAAAAATATAAACAGAAAGTATGAAACTGGATGGATTTTAATTTTGGTAATTACACTGACTTAATTGAATGATCATTAACACTTTGAATGTACTGTATGATATTTAGAGGCTAGAATGGCTAAATACCATTTTAAGTTTTAACATTAATAGCTGGTGTTCAGCTCTCTTAAAGGAATCATCATCAACATCAAAGGCAATTGTGCATAGTGCAAATTGTTATTATATTTTTTATATAACGGATGAAAAGATGGAGAAAATCAGAATGAGATCATACTGTTGTTGTATAGGGACATAAAGACTATTGGAATTCTAAAATAATGCTAAAGCATTGCGAATAACCAAAAACTGGTTATTTACAGATTTACAGATACCTTCGATATGTGTTGGGAAAAAAAAGCAACAGTGAAAAGCAATAAACATACAGTACAGTATATTTTTTTCTTCAACATATAATATAAAATAGTATTAATGCATTACTGGTATAGAGGAGAAAAAAACAGCAGCAGACAATTAAGTTCTCATTTCAAAGGAGCTGTGCAAGGATAGGCTTTGTACGTTTGAACTAATGCTCATAGTATATTACACAGCTATATTAAATATATGCACAAATCTAATTCTGTTAGCGCGCACATTTCTGCAAGTCCCATTAGTGTGCTGTTCCTCTCCAGCGAAATCAGAGAGAACCACAGCCCCTTCTGGTTTGCATAAAGCAAACAAAATTAAATTTGCTTTGCTAAATCAAAGCTTGTATGGGATTCTGGAGCTCTCTCAGGGACAAATTACTTCAAACAACCCCTTTGTATCATAACAGAATAAAAAAATTCAGGCCAATCAACTTGTCTCAAAACCCTTAACACAGGAATTAATTATTAAACCCAACCCGTGTTTTCATCTCCTCTGTGCTGCAGATCAATTTATTATAAGGGCATTTACTTTAAAACCAGATTTTCTAGATTTCTCAAGTAAATCTCTGAAGGATTCCATCCCCATTTTAGGCCTGTATACAAGCTTTCAGATCTATGTTTATACACAGAATCGTCTCTAACCCAATGAGCAGCTCTATTCAATTAAAAAAAAAAAACAACAAGATGAGAGAACATACAGCCAGAAAAAAAGAAAGGAAATAGCCTGAAAAGCCTGGTGAATTACTGTAGCTCTGATTTAAAGATCTTAAAACTGTGATCAAGAACCCTTAAGAAAATCTGCCAATTTAGTCTTGACTACCACTTCAGGTAGATAAAGGTAACAGTATTCAATAAAAACAACCAACATAATATGATTCCAAAAATGACCATTTCTAAGCCTTCACAAAGAAGTCACAGTTTTAGAATCACGTGGATTTCCTCAAGGCCTATGAAACAAAAGCATAATTTTTTCTCACTTACAAATCATCTCACCTGAACCACCTCTGATGACAAACTCAACTAATACTGTAATGATGATGAAAACCTCTGATATGGGTGAACTTGCCCATATTTTCCAAAGTAAGCATGTTGGTGGCGAGTCTGTGTTTTTAGTCACAGCCAGTCTGAGGTTTCCTGTGCAAAGGAAAAGTGCAAGTCTAATGGTGGCATTAGACTGTGTTAGTAATGAACTTGAACCAAACGCCTAATCAATGTAGAACCCCAGTGCAATGAAATGGAAAGTCTATAGACCTTAAGTGTAGTGTAGGGAATAATTTATTATAAGACATACTCCTGGGGGGAGGGGGAGTGAATACACAAGGACATGGAGAGGTCTGATCCACCTCCTGAGACAAAAGCAGAAGATGGAAGATGGGAAGGAGGGGGTTTCTGGCAAAGGCCTAATATTAAAGAGACAAAATTCATGAGAACAGCTTTGGTA